GGCGAAGGAGGGTTGAGGGAGAGAAGGGGGGCAACGCTCCCAGCAGCTGCTAAGCTTAACTTCAGATCTGAAGCATCTCAAGTTATTGTGGTGTGGAAATATGCGTCGGCTCATGGTTAGCCACTGCTTCAGGGTGGGGAGAACTGCACTGGATGTCTAAAAGTCAGAGTTCATCACTTCCCATCCCCACCCCCAGCCCAAATGGCCCGTGGAGCTCTGACAAAAGATGATGACAAATTGATGCATTTTTTCCCGCTGTTTTGAGTTTCACTTATTTTAAAGTAGATTGGAATAGTTTTAAGTAAGAGAAAGGGAGCCAAAGGCCTCCCTGTGGCAAGATACAGGTAGTTCTCGGCTTACAATAGTTCCTTTAGTGACAGTTCGCAATTAGAAAGGCATTGAAAAAAGTGGCTTATAACCAGTTTTCACACTTATGACCAGAGGTGGTATTCAGCAGGTTTGGGCCAGTTTTGGAGACAGCGGACATTTTGAGTCGTTCGGAGAATCCCACCTCTGACTGGTCCTGTCAACCCCATCTCTTCTCTGCCTCCTAAGTCCCAGCTGATAGGCTGGGTCTTCTTTTGTTGCCCTGCACAGGAGAACGGAACTGGAAAGCAGGTTAGTGGGGTGGGGAGGGAATGGGGATTTTACAGTATCCTTCCCCTACCATGCCCACCAAGCCACGCCCACCAAGCCACACCACACCCACCAAGCCACACCCACAGAACCGGTAGTAAAAAAAAAATTGAATCCCACCAGTGCTTACAACCACTGCAGCATCCCCATAGTCATGTGATCAAAATTCAGACGCTTGGCCACTAGTTCATATTTATGACGGTTGTTGTGTCCAGAGCTCAGATGATCACCTTTTGTGCCCTCTGACAGGAAAAGTCAATGGGGGAGCCAGGTTCACTTCACAGCTGTAGTGTTACTAGCCTCACAGTGTTACTAGCTTCACAGCTGCAGTGATTCACTTTTACAACGGTGACACAAAAGAGTGTAAGATGGGGCAAAATTCACTTAGCAACTGTCTTGCCTAGCGACAGAAATTTTGGGATCGATTGTGGCCTAAGCTGAGGGACTGCCAGTATTCCTGTTTTCCTAACCCAGCTCCCATTTATTAATGTATGAATTAAATTAATATGACAGTACATCTCAAGGAAAGCGACTCTGGGTGGCATGTAACAATCCAATAAAAGAATGTAAATATAAATAATTGTTACCTAAAACTATTTTATATACATATACATATACAGTGCATACATACACACACACACACGTGCGCACACACACACACAAGCACACATATTAAAAATATTAAGAACTATGGGGGAAAAGCAGTATTAAAGAAAGGAAGAAAAATAACAGATGTCAATAACAATGTAGCCGGCTTATATTCACTTCTCCTTGGGTTCTCCAGGTCTGCTGGCCTAACCAGCTCTTTGGGGACCTTCAAAAGTTCAGAAGTGATGAGGCTGACTTCTTAGAAGTGTTGGAGAAGCCCGGCAGATGAAATAAAAATAATTGAATTTAAAAAGAATCATCCTGAAAACCATTTCAAAGGCTTGTAAGATACTCATGATGCTCCAGACGAGTTATTTCTGGTTTGCTTACTAAATCGTCCTAAAATTAGATTTGGGGTTAGGTTTTGATCTAGGGGTGTTTGGTGGACTTTTGCCCAAAGGGTCTTCAAACTTGGCAAGTTTAAGTTGACTTGTGGACTTCAACTCCCAGAATTCCTGAGCTGACATGACTGGAGGAGGAATTCTGGGAGTTGAAGTCCACAAGTCTTAAAGCTGTCAAGTTTGAAGACCTCCTGATCTAGGGATTGTAGACTTTTGCTACTTTTCCAGTTTACAGAGATTTAGAATAGAATAGAATAACAGAGTTGGAAGGGATCTTGGAGGTCTTCTAGTCTAACCCCCTGCTTAGGCAGGAAACCCTACACAACTTCAGACAAAGGGTTATCCAATCTCTTCTTAAAAGCTTCCACTATTGGAGCATTTACAACTTCTGGAGGCAGGTTGTTCCACTGATTAATTGTTCCAACTGTCAGGAAATGTCTCCTTAGTTCTAAGTTGACTCTCTCCTTGATTAGTTTCTACCCATTGCTTCTTGTCCTGCGCTCAGGTGCTTTGGAGAATGTTAAGTTTGGGAAAAGAGAGGCTGAACCAGAGCATGAGTGCAACAGTACTTTATTATAACAATAAAGGGCTGACCGTGCTTGCCAAGCCGGGAACTGGCTCGCAGCGATCAGCCACTGGTTGGACCCCGCAGCCTGCTTTTATAGCTGGCTGCTGGGGAGAACCAACCAATGAGTGAAGGGGAAAAACGCCCCCGCAAAGTGAATGGACCTGAGTGAGAACTCCTAGGGTTCTCAGAACATAACAGAGAATAGCTTGACTCCCTCTCCTTTGTGGCAGCCCCTGAGATATTGGAAGACTGCTGTCATGTCTCCCCTAGTCCTTCTTTTCATCAGACTAGACATAACCAGTTCCAGCAACCGTTCTTTATATGTTTTAGCCTCCAGTCCCCGAATCATCTTTGTTGCTCTTCTCTGCACTCTTTCTAGAGTCTTCACATCTTTTTTACATCATGGTAACCAAAACTGGATGCCGTATTTCATGTGTGGCCTTAGCAAGGCATTATAAAGTGGTATTAACACTTCACGTGATCTTGATTTTATCCCCTCTGTTTATGCAGCCTAGCACTGCATTGGCTTTTTTGGCAGCTGCTGCACATATTTATATGGTTGTCCACTAGGACTCCGGGATCCCTCTCACAGTTACCACTATTGAGCAAAGGTACCACCTATACTGTACCTGTGCATTTGGTTTTTCTTGCCTAAATGTAGAACCTTACCTTTTTCACCACTGAATTTCATGTTGTTAGATAATGCCCAATGTTCAAGTCAGTCAAGATCCTTCTGTATCTTAAGCCTATCTTATTTATTTATTTGATTTGTCAATAACTTACAAGATAATAGGTGTAAGTATAAACATGAGTAAGAATACAGGAAGTAGGTACGAATAAATAGGGACAATAGGACAGGGACGGTAGGCACGACGGTGCACTTATGCATGCCTGGAATGTTGGCTATTCCTGCCAGCTTGGGGGTCATCTGCAAATTGAATGAGTTCCCCATCTATCCCCTTGTCCAAATCATTGGTTGGTGTTGCCAATCTTTACACTGAAAGACGGAGATATTTTCTCCAGCAGCATCCAGGAAGCAACGGGGAATCTGTTCTCCGATTCTGAATGAGCCACCAAGCAGTGCATACATCCAAGCTGTAAACTCTCAGCACCATCACAAGGATCTCCACCCCCTTCCCCTGACCTCTACTGTGGAGAGGGAATCCATGTGCAGCTGTTACCCAGCATGTGGATACTGACATGTGCTCTTTGGTTAAGGGCTGGGCAGCACAGCTATGCTTTGCCTGTTTTGGGGCCTTTGAGTCAGTCTTGACTCTTGGTGACTTGCCTGGATAAGTCCCTGTGGTTTTCTTGGCGTGATTTTATGCTTGATTGGCCCAAGGTCACCCAGCTGGCGGAAGGTTGGACTAAAACTCAGGGTTTCTCGATCCCTAGCCTGGCGCCTTAACCACTACGCCAAATTGTGTCAGCTCTGCCTGGTTTGGCTTGGCGCCTCACAGGCATCCTGCCATCAAAAGAAAAAGGAGCGGTGGGGGGGAGGATCAAAGGAGGAAGAAAAGGGAAAGGATGAAAGAGCAGTAAAGCTTTGTGTGTATGTGATAGGAAATTAGGAGCGGGGAATGACAGGTGAGAAGGACCAGAGCAGCTGGATCCTGTTTGTGCCAGCAACCCAAGGCCAGGTACCCTGAGAAATATACAGATTACCCCCAAACACCTCAGAGTTCTCAAAACATTTTGGCGAGCTCCAGTTGGCTGGAAATGGACTGGTCATAGGAAGAGGATGGGCTGGGGCCAAATCTATTCCTTATTTTTTGTATCTAGCGAGCATGTGAGATTTCAGAGCTGGCTTGACTTTACTGCAACCTTAGTAAAAGAACCCTTTGCTTGAACCAAATGGTATCGCGGGCTTTTCTTTCTTAAGAGATTGGATTGGGGCAGATCTGACAAACTGTCTCTCTTGTACTTCACCTACCAGGAGTTTAATAGTAGTCCTATTCAGGAAGAACCCTGCAAAGTGAAACTTCTATGTTTTTATAGACTTGAGATGGCTTCATTGTGGAGACCACACTGATACTAA